TTAATATATTTTAATTTTTAATATTCTCCAAAGTAAATACAACCCGTGCATCGCATGGGTTACATACTAGTTCGAGTTATATGGATAAGATACAATCAATGAGTTATTTTTTATTTAAATTATATTATATTATTTCCATCTATATTAGGTAATTGATATTTTTGGCGAGAAATGCTTTCTAAAAATGAATTAACTCTATTCTTATTTTATATATATAAATGCAAAAATAGTTTTCCAACTCATCCCCTCATATGATAATCCTTATTGGCTGAAATGCATTATTTCTAATTCTAATGATGTTAACCTTTGTGTTCGCAATTCCAAATAATTACGGGTGCTGACCTTAACAACATTTTTACTATATAAAGATTATTCATTTTTAAACTAGTATACCACCCGTGTATTACACGGGTGCTTGTTAAAAAATTATTCTTAAATTTTAAAATTAATGAGAAAACTAAACTAAATTTAGTTACAAAAAAATATATTACTATATATTTTAGAATGACTAGTCCATATCCCGTGCGATCAGGGGCGGACGCAGACATTTAAGAGTAGGGGGCACAATGCAAATCATAAAATGAAGAACCAAAAAAATAACAAACGTTACATTATAATTGTGCGATAGTCGGGAATGATCATCATGCCAACATCAACATGATTTTCTTGGTTTTTTCTTTGGATATTTCTTTTATCGGCGACACTCGTATATTTTCGTTTATAATATTTCTCCATTACTAATATGAAAAATAATAATAACATTAGGTTATAACTTAAAAAATTACGAGCTAATTTTAAAACTATTATTACAATTATGAAGATACCTAAAACAAATAATACATACAAAATGCGCAACAAATAAGAAATAACATTTAAGATGCTATTTTATCAAAATCATGAAAGCCCTAAATTAAAAATTAAATCAATTTTGAATATTCTCATATACAAAATTATGGTTATAAAAACTAGAAAATAATTAAATAAAACATACTTTTTGAAATAAAAATTGATAGCCCACTGAAGATGTAGAAGTTGAAACCAAATTATTGAAAGATTTTTTATTTATTTTTATCCTGCACTTGTTGTCCATCTCCAATCTAGAAGGAATTTTGTAACAATGCAGGAAGAGAAAATAAAGTAAAAAAAAAAAGGAATGTTCAGTCATGCGTGACGGAAAGAAAAAAAAAAAGAAAAAAACTTGGTTGAGTTGTAGTGGGGGCCGGGCCCACAAGAAAGTCAATTTAATTAAATATTGTATATATCATTGCACACTATTATATACAATATATTAGTTAAACAAAACTTGGTTCAGGCCCAGAAGATAAGTTAGTAACATTAAATAGTATACATATTACATTACACACTATTATATATGTACTAGTTAAAAGAATTCACCTCACAGGGGCACGTGCCCCTGCGGGACCCCCCTTGGGTCCGCCCCTGCGTGCGATGCACAAGTCAGTTTTGTTATATGAGTCATTTTAATAAGACATGTCCGTTTAGGCTTAAAAAATAATAGAGTTAGATCTACTTCTTGTAATCAAGTTGTTTTTAAGTCATCACGTTAAACTCGAGCATATTAGCTCTAGTCTATAATTTAATATATTATATGTAGAATCATTTATACTAGTACAAAATGATTTTCGTATATAAGGGTGATTGTCCTTGAAACTCCAAAAAATTACGTACCAGATTTTGTTGCTTTTTCGTATTAGTCATTACGATGGTACGATGACTCATTATATTTCAAAAAAATCAATAAAAGTCAATTTTATTATTGAACATATCATTAAAAACAAATCAACAGTAAATTTAAAATATAAATTAACAAAATATATAAAAAAAAATTGTTTTTAGTAATACTGTAAACAATTAGTATTTTATTTAATTATTAAAAACAGTTGTAAAGTAAAAGAACACTAACAATAATTTTAGAGACCATCACAACATGACAACCAAACAAAATATGACACTAATTTAATTTTGGCCCAATACTATTAAATTTTTGGACATTAATAATTAACCCATATGTTCGGTCCAATGCGCCTATTTTTCCATGCTGTAATAGGTGGCCCACATACATTAAATAAAAACTTTCACACCTTTAAAAATGTCCCATAAAATTGGCCCAATATTCATTTATGTGAATGTATCTAGTCCATAAACATATATATGTATATACCACATCAGACAATTTAAATTTGGCCAACTTCGCCTATAAAAGGCGACAATTCCCCTTTTTTAGGGTTTTCCTCAAACCACTGAGCCGATATTTATTTCTGTTCCCGTGTTTATCGTTTCAAAATGAAAACGATTCACAATCCCTTTGAATAAATTATTTTTCATACGAAAAATAGATAAGCAGTTACAGATTGGGTATGACACATTGATAATCCCACAAATTATGGGCAACATTAAATGTTGGCCGATTTTACAGGCAAAAAAACTTAACCAAATTGGTAAGAATTTAATGCTGACCGGATTTGACCTGCAGTTGACCTGCCATTTTTGAAATATGGTAATTCTTATTATATAGATATAGATATTATGTATGTATGTATGTTGTTGTACGGTGGTTTTTATTGTTTATTTCATATAATGTAAAGGTTGAAATCATAAAAAAGAATCCCAAAAACTGAAATAATATATTTGCATAATTTAGGGTCATTAAGAAATCGATCTCCAACTCAGATTTGATTTTGAGAATTTGTGTTTTATTTCGAAATTCATACAAAATGGAATTATATCCAACCAATAAATGTCATAGCAAATATTAACTCTGAATATCAGTGCATACTGAGCAAATTGTGTACATATTTTAGAAAATTAAAATGATTCATGTTAGGTAATTTTACATTTTATGTATGTTGTTGCACGGAGGATTTTAAATATTGTTTCATAGTATGTAAAAGTGTATTATTTTATTTTTATGAGATGTTGAATTTGAAAATTAACAGAATTATTCGTAATAGGAATTTTAAATGAATAGTATTCTTTGGTATACACTATTAATAAAATCTATATCTAAAGTTTATATTTTTTGTTTTTAACCTGAAAAAATTCTTTAATTTAAAGAATTACATATATCTTCAATCAGTCTGCATCTATAAACATTCTTCACAATTTTAAATTTTGAATTTGATGAGAATTCGTATCTATGAGTGCAAAATATGGTTTAACAAATTAAATTTTTATTATTATTTCAGCCATACTTCTGTATACGATTTTTTGTGAAAATACAAAAGTAAATTCTTAATTTTAAATCACTCGTACATTAAAGTGTACTAATTTTTGAAATTACAAAAGTAGTTTTTTTAATTCAAATCAAATGTAAAATTAAATAAGCCATAAACAAAGATAAATTGTTTTACTATTTAAATACTAAATTAGCCGTCATTAATGTTGTTTGTTTATTTGCCATGATTTTCTCCAAACTAAATTAACAACTACCATGATTTAAGGGCTCCATTTATGATGCTCGATTTTTTGCCCAAAAAAACAAATAAAAATTACTAAAAGTGGTATGTAATTAATGCAAATGAATTTTGACCATAGTTTGACCTGCTATTTTTGAAAAATAGTAAATCTTTATATATATATATATATATATATATGTTACTTATGACTTACATGTGTTATATTATCTATATATATAAAAAGATTTACCATTTTTATAAAATAGCAGGTCAAATTTTGGTCAAAATCATTTTGCATTAATTACATTCCATTCTTAGTAACTTTTCTTTTTTCTTTTTTCTTTCTTTTTTTTTTTATAAAAAAGGCAACATAAAATTCTACCCATTAATTAAGGATTTTGTTATTTTGGTTTTCAACCAAAACCATGAATGTTGCCTATTATTTGGGGCTGATGTTGTTTTATTTTTAAAAATCATGTTTAATAAAAAGAAATAACTACATATTACTCTAAATTACTGGATAATTAAATTGTCTTGTTTTGCGTCTTCACTTGCTTAATAAATTAATTAGTGTTGATTCAATACTCAACGGGTCAAACATTTTTTTTATTTCAAATTAAGAAATAAATATGTAACCGATAAAAAAATAATTAAATATGTATAGATAATATATTAATTATTTTACAAGCTAACCCTAATATACAAGTGAAAAATATATGATAACCCTATTGATTTTTAGACTTAAACGAACAAAATTGTCTGAAAATAATTCATTTAATATCTATGTCTCGTGCATTGCACGGGGTACGTACTAGTATTAGTTGTTATAAATTATATCATATAACTATTTGAAATATAAATATAGTACTTGATAAATAATTTTATTTTTCTAATTAATATTAAAAATAATTTTATTATTGTTATAAAGATAAATATAAGTTATTTTTTTATACATACAATATGAATGTTAAATCGAAGCCCATCAAAAGAAGATTAATTTGATATATTACATATGTAAAACTGATAAAAAATACAAAAGTTATTAACTTTTAAAATTTATATACAATTCAATAGTTATAATAAGGAATGATATTAATACAATTAATACATGTAACATGACCATAAATAATCAACATATTTATGGTAATCCTAACCTAATTATTTTTGGTTTGGAATTAAATTAAAATTTATCCATGTCTAATAACAAAGCATGTAATTTTGTCACATAGGATTCTGAAGCACCAGAAACAGCCACATAGGCTCAGCGCGTTCTCTATATTAATATTAATATTAATATATAGGAGGGAAGGGATTAGTGCAGTTTTATGATATTTTATTTTCATCTAGCGCACAATAATGAATATATTATAAGTGTATATAATATTATTACCTTCAATCAATTTTTTTTTTTTTTTTAAAATATTTTTTTGGCAAAACATAATAAGCCGTCAAACGGAACAGTTTTGAGTGGTCGGTTGCGGGTTTTCACACGCGACCACATTTGGCAAATAAACTGCCCAAAAAACCGATTGGAAAATCTCAAATCGGATCTTCAACTCAACAGAGAGTCCAAATCCCTCCCAAATGAGTGGTAGCGAGGGCAGCTCAGGGCACTCGGCCGCCAGCGACTCGGCGGCGGAGAGAGTGAAGAAGAAAGAGAAGGCGCGCGTGAGCCGGACGTCCCTGATCCTGTGGCAGGCGCACCAGAACGACACGGCGGCCGTGCGGAAGCTCCTCGAGGAGGACCGGTCGCTGGTGAACGCCAGGGACTATGATGACCGGACTCCTCTCCACGTGGCGGCGATCCACGGCTGGATCGACGTTGCCAAGTGCCTCCTCGAGTACGAAGCAGACGTCAACGCCCAGGATCGGTGGAAAAACACG